AAAAAAGCTAGTTGCAAAGCAGCAAACATAGTAGGATTTTATATATCTTTGTGTACTTGTATTGCTTCTAATAAATTATTTACTATTAGAAATTGTTTTTAGTATTAAAAATGTTTAAACATAAATAAATATCAATAAGTGACTTTTAAGTCAGTCTCCATGATTTTTAGATAAGGATTTTTATATACATTTACAATGCATGTGTTCATTTTATAATTAATGAAATAAAGACCTTTACTTTGAAAAAAATGACCAGCAGAGGTGGAGTTGTTATAATATTAATATACATACTCATATAATTTTCTTTCATATCTGTGTTCCTGCTTTAGGTTGCTTCAGGGAACTTTGTGCTCTGTGTTGGATGCTGCATGTCCGTGATAAGTTATCCCTTAGTTGCAGGCAATATCAGAAAGCAAGAGAAAATGTAAAGGGAGAAAAGGTATTTACCAGGGCAAAAATAAGAAAAATGAACACACATTACTTGGGAAATTATTGTTTAAAAGAAGATTTTATTGTTTGCAGCAAAACTTTCTTTTGAACTCATTCTGGTCTACCATCTAAACTAAAAAAGAAATGAATGTTTTTCAATATCCTTTTAGGACCTTGAAGTAGAGTTTGATTCTTGTATGATTGAGCACTGTCTTAGTGCAGTGGAATGGGCTTATAGAATGCTGCCTTTCTCTCGGTTCTTTAATATGGAAGAACTTATTCAGGATATAATTTTGAGCCTTATTGGAGAACTGCCACCAATGAGAAAGGTAATGTGCTTGTAGGTGAAAGTAAACTACATCAGAATCAGGGACTTTAAAAGATTTTTGTTTAATTTTAATTAAGGATGATATTGCCTTTCTTTGGCTTATTTCACTTAGCATAATATCTTCTGGGTTCAGAAAGATAAATACTGTAGGACCTCATTTATGTGTGGAATATAAAAATTTTAAACTCACAGAAGCAGAGAGTGGAATGGTGGTTGCCAGAGGTTGGGGATGTAGTGGAAATGGGGAGATCTTGGTCAAAGGGTACAATCTTTCAGTTATAAGATGAATTAAGTTCCAGGGATCCAATGTACAATGTAGTGACTATAGTTAATCGTAGTGTATTGTTTACCTGAAATTTGATAAGGGAGGATATTACAATAGTAACTGTGTGTATTGATGGATGTGCTAATTAATTTGACTGTGGAAATCAGCACAGAATGTATACATATATTAAATCATCACATCATACACCTTGAATATACACGTTTTGTCAATTACGTGTTTTAAAATAAAAAAGTAAGTTGATACAAAACTCCTATTAGCAGACTCATGCTCAGGGAGAGGCTGTGACCTGACCTCAAAAGATTAGTAAGAAATATGCATTTATATTTTTAGTTAAAATAAAATATTTGTGGAATGGAAGAAAAAAGAATGTTGTTTCTCATAAAACTTAAAAAAATTTTTTTCTGAAGGTAGCAGAAATTTTCGTGAAAGCATTTCCCTATCCTGAGGATGTGAGGGTTCCTTTAAGAGACAAATATCACTCTCTTCACCAGAGACTCAGACACTGTGTTGTGAAAGGTATTATTTGTTGTTTCTCAGATAGCTAATAGATAAATTGCGGAAGATTCCCTTTTTGTTTTGAAAATATTTATTTACTGTTGCTTATGTGTCTATGTATTTCTGCCTCTTCCTCAAGATAGGAGTATGAGAAGGTAGAAACATTTCTCCATTGCAGAAAGACTAATCTCTTGCTTTGGAACCAGATGGAGCTGACTGTGGCTCATGGCTCTGTCAGTTAGTAACTGTGTGACTTTAGGCAAGTTGCTCAGTCTCTCTGAGCCTCATATCTTTATTTGTAAAGTGGGCATAGTATTACCTGCTTTATGATGTGTATTCAGAGAGGATTAAATAACATAATATAAAATGAGCATATAGTACTTTGTATATTGCAAGTATTTGTTGAAAACAAGTAACTTTCCTTTCCCTTTATGGTTATTTATGCTTCTAATTTTGTTCTTCAAAATTAGAATACACACATTTCTTATTGGGGTAAAACACATATAATATAAAATTTACCATTTTAGTCATTTAAAATATACAATTCATTGACATTAAGTACATTTACAATGTTGTGGAATTTTTAAAGAATTAAAATTACCCTGCTTTTTAGAACTATAATTCAGTATTTAAGTCCAGGTATGTCCAGTGATTTTGTATTATTCTATTAATATATTGTATTTGTGATTTGTCTTTTTCTTAATACTTTTTTTGACATCCTTTAAAATATTCTGTTTAAATATTCTGTATTAAATAATGTTTTAAAATTTTTCTATAGACAGCCTTGAAAACCTTCCCTTGCTATTGTTTCCTATTACTTGTAGTAAGAAAAATGTTCTTGATTTTTTTGACTAGAATTATACTAATTTTCTCTTATTCTCTACTATGTGAGAATGGAAAAAACATTGGTTATTCTTTTTATTAAATATAATTATCCTTCTGAGTTTTAAAACAGTTAAATCACTTAAAGTTTTTTTTTCCAGGGCATACTGTTTCTTCTGAGGTCTAGGTTCTATCTCTTTTATTGTGTTCTTTAATGGACCTTCTTTAGCTTCTGCAGCTCTACTTTAAAATACCTTTCCAGTAAATACTGAAGAAAACACGACCTATAAGAATGTGGAAATAAGTCATGAGTTAGGTTTCTTGTCCCCAGGAGGGACCAGAGTTGGGTCTCCATATGTCTCGAATTGAAACATTTTAATGAACACTAAGACTTTTTATTCTTTTCTTTCCAGGTCCCCAAACTGAGGAAATGATGTCTGTTGTCATGCATTCTATCCAGAAAGTGAGGGTGAAAGCTCTAAAACGTGTACAGAGAAATATAGGCTCTTTTGAATTGAATATATGGGAACCAATTGAAGAAGAGAAACCAGATGAGGCTGCAGGTTTTGACAGATTTTCCCTGGGGACTAGTTTGAGCAGAAGTACACTCACAGAACTTGGGAATTCTATGGTTCACAGTGATGCAGATACGGCAGATACATTCTCTGAAGCTTTGTCGGTTGAAGAAAAAAGTAGGATAAATATCTATCAAAGGTACAATTGAGATCTTTTAATAACAGGCATTCGCTTCCTTTGAAAAGTAGCTTTCAGGCATCTGATGAGCTGATTTCTGGTCCCAGCAACCCTCACAGATTGCACTATTAATAATATGAATAAGTGCCACCCCCTCCACTCATAAGAATATTAGGAGTATAAAATGAGACTGTACATTCGAAAATTTACTTTAAGTATTATTGATATATGAAATAATTTTGCCATCTGAAATTATAAAATCAGAGGAGTAGATGAAATTCTACGCTTCACTGGAGGACTTTCAGTTTTTTTAAGTAATCTTTAGACTTAAATAGTTTTGGGTTACTGAGTTAGCCATATTATTTTTAAGGAAAATTTTTCCTTAAATTTCCTTAATATTTTTAAGGGAAATATTTCAGGGAAGGAAATTGCCTCAAGCAGAAGGGATGGGATGCTTTCAGCCCAGGTGGCCAATACCTGTTCTCTTACTGAGGGAACTAAGGATCTGTGTTCTGCCCTAAGAACCACGTTAAGAAGAAACATTTAAAAGGAATTGTGGTTGGGCAGTTAAGGTATCTGCCTAACTGGTTTCATAGCAGCTAAAAGTGTTTAGAAAAAGTTCCTAATTTTGTGTGGTAAAACAAAAAAGGACAGTCTTGCTTGTTACACATGGTATTAGGGGAGCTGAGCGGGCAGATGCAAGAAAAGAAATCCTAAATTTTGTTGTGTATCAGTGGCTTGGAGTTTTTGTTGACTTTGTATTCCTAAAATCTGACCCATTAGAGGACTATTTTTTTTTTTTACCCACAGAAAAATCATTCATGTTCTTTTATAGTGAAATTTCTGTGGACACATTTTAATCTCTTCTAATACAAATTTTCCCTTTTGATATTAATTTTTTTTTGATCTCGTAGAAATGTTCCACTCTTGAAAACACTTAGAAATCATTTAGTCCCACTCCCTCATTTGAAATATATGTAATCAAGGCACACAAAATATACATGACTTAATCATTGGAGAGAATTTTTCATGTCAATTCTAATATCAGTTTTAGTGATTAAATGATCTTTAATTCTGTCTTATTTTATTTTATTTTTTTGCTGTAGAAATGCCCCAAATCACATGGAATTAACATCGATTGGTAAGCTCACTGATAAAAAGAAAATGTGTAATCAGAAGGAAAATCCTACAAAGAAAGAAGATCATGAAAAGTTATCACAAAATACACTTCCTGTAATAGGTGTTTGGGAATTTGAACGTGACGATGATGAATATATTAAATTCCTTGATCTCTTTTTGAGTTACATTCTTGAAAGAGACCTACCTTATTCCAGGGATGCTGGAATTCCATTTCTAACCAGTTTTTCTGGAACGCTTAGAGAACATGAACTTAATTCTTTACTTTTTGATGTACATACAACATTAAAACGACGTCAGAGCAAAACTAAAAGCCAGAATGTGTTTAGAGCTGGTTCTTGCTTTGTTGTTGCTCCTGAGTCCTATGAATCAGAAAAATCATCCTCTTTAAATGATGAATATGGCATGCATTTAGAAAACCAGGAACTTTCATCATCGGTACTGGTTAATCAAGGGATCAAACCTTTTTTAGAATATCCTTTGAATGCAGTCAATAAGAATGAACAAATGAGTGGATTATTTGGTTTAAAGCAAAAGTCAATTTACAAAATACAAGATGACACTAGAGAAAAATGTCTAATCCAGAGATCATCAAGCAACATTTTTTGGACTCCCAAGTCCATTAAAACTAGAAGTTGTATTTTCAAAGCTATTCAGTGCAATGATATTAACCCTCAAGAAGATCTTCCTTTAGCACTAAACACATTTGGCAGTATAGGAAGACTGCTGGAATGGATGATAAGGTGGTCTAATAGAAGACTACTCTGTGATTCTGGTATAACTGAGTCGTCCTCTGAGTACAGTCCAGTAATTCGTGTAAAGACCTCTACAGCTGCCATTCTTACATCATTATGGCTTTTGGAACAACCCTATTTTGCTACATATAAGGCAAAAAATGCCACTATTCAGGTAAGCATATCAATTGTTCATTACATACAAACGAGAATTCTCATTTTAGATTAAAACTATGTTTACATTTCCCATCTATTAAAGAATCATTAAATAATAGAAAATTAATGACAATGTTGATTATAATCAGTATCTCCTATTTTTTTCTTCTAGTGGTTCCTTTAATTCTTAACAATAGTTAAAGTGAACGTGCTTTTCAGAGAGGCTGTGAGGTCTTGAAGTTTTGTGTATATTTATAAAAAAGAAAAAGGGGAAGGAGATAATTTTAGTGATATTACAAGTGGTATTACAGTTATATTATTTCTCTCTTCGGTTTCAGGTTTTGGTTCAGATGAAGGACTAGGTAGCTCTCTAGTTTTAATTACTGATGTCTCATCAAGTCCATTAGTGGATTGTTTTTCTTATACTCTCAGGCCAGAAAAGGTTGAAGAATCAAACCCAGAAAGGCAGATGGGAGTCAGTAGAGGAGTTAGTGTTTAATTAACTATTCTTTCTTCCCTAGTCAATGGCAAGTGCCTTTATTCCAAAGTAGTTTATTCTAGGCTGAAGGATGTGAATGCGCGCATGTGTGTGTGTGTGTGTGTGTGTGTGTGTGTGTGTGTGTGAGAATTTGTTTTATTTTTTACTTATTTATTTTTTGAGACAGAATCTTGCTTTTTTTTTTTTTTTTGAGATGGAGTCTCACTCTGTCACCCAGGCTGGAGTGTAGTAGCATGATCTCAGCTCACTGCAACCTCTGCCTCCTGAATTCAAGCAATTCTGCCTCAGCCTTGCGAGTAACTGGGACTACCGGTGCGCGCCACCACGCCTGACTAATTTTTGTATTTTTTAGTAGAGACGGGGTTTCACCGTATTCGCCAGGCTGGTCTTGAACTCCTGACCTCGTGATCCACCCGCCTCGGCCTTCCAAAGTGCTGGGATTACAGGTGTGAGCCACTGCGCCTGGTCCAGAGTCTTGCTTTATCACCTAGGCTGGAGTGCAGTCTTAGGATCAGAGCTGCCTGTAGCCTTGACCTTCTGGGCTCACGTGATCCTTCCACCTGAATCTCCCAAGCAGCTGGGACCACAGGCTCATGCCACTATGCCTGGCTAATTTTTAAATTTTTTAGAATTTCCCTTTGTTACCCAAACTGGTCTCAAACTCCTGGGCTCAAGTGATCTTCCTACCTCAGCCTCTCAAAATGTTGGGATTATAGGTGTGAGCCACCACACCAGTCCTCTTTTTTTTCCTTGAGATTGGTTTCTGTTATCATAAGGTATACAGTTTATATGATACTGTGATATTTGTCATCCTTGAAATTTGTATTTCTAGGTAATGTATATGGAAATTTTAATTGAGACAAAAGGGATACGTACCTTGTGTTTTTAGCTGCATGTATTTTTGTTTACTATGTCATTTTGAAATAACTACTGAATGTCTTTATGATATAGCAAAGGGAATGAAATGAGAATATTATAATTTTTTTGCCACTGTTTCGTGACCTGAAAACAATGACAATATCCCTTGCAAATGTGTAAGGCTGATTTCTTTTGAATACTATTTAGGTAGTCAGATTTGCTTTTCCAGTTAGAAGATTGCTTCAGCAACAAATATTGAGTTGTGGAAATGCAGTAAATATTTGATAAATGAATAAGAGGATTATTCAGAATTCCTGTAGAAAGAAAGAATAATTTTAAAATATGGTGAAAAATAAAGGGTTCAATAAATACTAAATACTGTAAATGGTTTGCTTTAGATGGTAGAGAATCGTGACACTCGGTGTCAGGTTGGACCCAGTATTGAGAGGGAGAGCAAATCAGATGCTGGCGGTTCAGTTGCAGTAGCAGCTCCAGGTGGAACAGAGGAAAGAAATGGTCAGAATAAATCTTGTCAAAATATCTTGAAGTAAGTTGCTGATTATACTCTTCTTTTCAATATAAGACACCTGGTTTGATGGCCTTTGGGCTTAAAGGGAAGAATCAAACCCTTGAAAGTTAAAGGAATGAGCATTTTTTGAAGTAGAGGAACAGGCAGTGAGCTTTCTGAGGTGCTTTAACAATTCATTGCAAATTGTATTTTTTCCCTCTTGGTCTAGCTTATATTTTCTGAGACAATAATTAATTCATCCTGAGAGATTCCTTTATCAATTTATTTCCCATATCAGAAGTTGAACTAATCCTTTCGTCCATTTTTATATATGAAGCAATGCTAGGAGTAACATAGCTTTGAATCCCAAGGCAAAAGCCATTATAGCATGAATAGTCCTTTGTGAGAATGATAATTTTAGATAAGTTGAAATTATTCCAATCATTTGAATAAATAAAAACTAGGATGTTTAGTTATTTACTGAACAATCTTTTTTTTTTTTTTTTTTGAGATGGAGTTTCACTCTCGTTGCCCAGGCTGGAGTGCAATGGCACAATCTTGGCTCACCGCAACCTCCGCCTCCCAGGTTCAAGCAATTCTCCTGCCTCAGCCTCCCTAGTAACTGGGATTATAGGCATGTGCCACCACTCCCAGCTAATTTTGTATTTTTGGTAGAGACGGGGTTTCTCCATGTTGGTCAGGCTGGTCTCGAACTCCCGACCTCAGGTGATCCACCCGCCTCGGCCTCCCAAAGTGCTGGCATTACAGGCGTGAGCCACGGAACCCAGCCTACTGAACAATCTTTAACTGAGCTTCTATGTATCAGAATTTTTTTAAGAAAGATTTTATAAATATAAAACCAAAGTTTGTTCTTTGTTTTTAAAAAACTGAATTAAGTCGAGATTGCACCATTGCACTCCAGCCTGGGCGGCAGAAGGAGACTCCATCTCAAAAAAAAACAAAAACAAAAACTGAATTATAATGTAAAGTAGCTCTTTATCTCCAAGAGTAGTTGTAATTTTAGTTGCTGCATTTTTTTCAGTAGAATGCCAACTGAAGCAAAAAATCCTGATATAAAAGAAATCAATGTTGAGATTATTTCCGTCATTCATAATACTAAAAAAGAATTTATAGATATTGATGAGAATCTTTTAGAAGTACAAGCATTTACAAAAGAGGAAATGGATATGCACATATCAGACTATGAAGGTCAGTTTATTTAGATAATCTATTTTTTTGGCTTTATTAATTTGAAATTGGTAAATAATATTATCTGAGATAACTTATTTAGTCTTCCACGTAAGTGTGTTTACAGGAGCCTAAAATGAAAAATTAAGAGAATTAAATATTTATGAAACATTGAACATATTAACTCTAATTTTGGTTTTGATAAAACCAAGAAGATCTAAGGTATTTTTATGTTGGTGCTCTTTTACAATTGTTGGGCCTGTTGTGCTGCTTATGTAATAATTATGGTCTCTTAATTTCTGCGAAGCAACTCTACAAACCTCTCCCCAGCAGTCTTCCTTAAAACACAAACTCTCAGAGCACTACATAGAGTTAAACATACTGAATAATAAGGCCTCTCAAGGCTTATCTGGAATTTACCTGATGAAGATGGAATAGACTCCAGGTGTTTTCAAAGACTGTCTTTATAAAAAGGATAGAAAATATTTCTGTCATTATATTGTTTCTGGTAATATTCCCTGAGCCCCCTAAAAAGTCAATAGTTTAATTTTTTTAATGATCAGTTTTCTCTTCATCTTTCCTTATCGCTAGAAGACATTAAAGAATCTGTTGGAGGTTTCAGAAGTCCCAATCTTGGCATTTGCATGATGACTTTACCACAGCAGTTAGAAGAAGTAAGTCAATAAATAGTGGATACAATTATTCATCTTTCATTTTGTGTAGTGTTTAAATTATACATGTTTTTATTCATTGTTATTAAATATATCAAAGCAAGGCTAGCTCTTAAAAATGCACTATGGGTTGTAGAATATAGCCATGCTGTGTGGCATTTTTCTTTCCCTGAAATTCTAGTACAGTATAGTAACATGTCCAATAATTTCAGGCAATGAAATTTTCATGCCATAAACTGCTTCAGCAAATTTATTTAATCAAGAGTAGCAAACGTGTCCTTTATTTAAAAAGTATGGAAGTATGGCCAAGCATGGCAACTGATACCTGTAATCCCTGCACTTTGGGAGGCTGAGGCGGGAGGATTGCTTGAGCCCAGGAGTTTTGGACCAGCCTGCTCAAGAGAACAAGACTCCATCTCTACGAAAAATTAAAAAATAGCCAGGCATGGTGGCATGTGCCTGTAGTAGTCTCAGCTACTTGGAAGGCTGAGGTGGGAGGATCATTTGACTTCAGGAGTTTGAGGCTGTAGTGAGCTCTATTGTGCTAGTACATTCCAGCCTGGGCAACAGAGTGAGACCTTGTCTTTAAAAAAAAAAAAAATTAAAAAGTATATTTCAGCTGTACTTTTTATACATATATATGCTTTTGGTATTATTTTTCTCAAAACTCTATACATTGAATTTCCAGGGGGAACATAGACATTTCCAATTATTGTAACAGTTCTGTTTTTTGTTTTTTGTTTTTTTTTTTTTTGAGATGAGGGTCTTGCTCTTTTGCCCAAGCTGGAGTGCAGTGGCACAATCGTGGCTCACTGCAGCCTGGAATTCCTGGAATAAAGTCATCCTCTTGCCTCAGCCTCCCAAGTAGCTGGGTCCTACTATAGGTGCGCACCACTATGCCCAGCTAATTTTTTTAAAAACATTTTTTTGTAGAGACTGGGCTTTGCTATGTTGCTTAGGCTGGTCCTGAACTCCTAGCCTCAGCCTCTCAAAGTGCTGAAATTACAGGTGTGAGCCACTGTGCCCTATCTGTTGTAACAGTTCTTTATTATTATTATTTTTATGTTTGAGACAGTCTTGCTCTGTTGCCCAGGCTGAAGTGTAGTGGTGTGATCTTGGCTAACTGCAGCTTCAGCCTCCCAGGTTTAAGCAATTCTGCCTCAGCCTCCCAAGTAGCTGGGAATACAGGCATGCGGCACCATGCCTGACTAATTTTTTGTAATTTTTGTAGAGATAGAGTTTCACCATGTTGGCCAGGCTGATCTTGACCTCCTGACCTCAAGTGATCCACCTGCCTTGTAAACAATTCTTTTAAAATGGATTCATTTTTCCTGGTTTTATAGTTGTTTTTGCAGGGAAATGAATAATCATGTAGTGTTATATGTATATAATTTACAGTGTGTTAGTCTATTGACACAGTCTTGTCTTTGTAACTTAGCATGCTCAATAGTCCAGTGTGGCAGACTGGAGGCAGTTCACACAGTATAAAGATTTGGTCAGAGCAGGGCTGGGAGTACATTTTACTGTGTGATTTCTCACTTGCTTGTAGACTGTTGTTACTTTGGTTAAGCAGCTAATATGAGACTGAAAATACTCAAGACAGTAATACCTATTTGTTTTACCTGTTTTCTTTTTGCATACTATCAATTTTAAAAGGAGTTCACAGAAGAGGTTCAGTGTCAAAGGGAAGAACCACTGGAGACAAATACGGAGGAAAAATCGACTGAACAGAAAGGGTAAGGGGGAAAAAAGTATGATAGTAATTGTCTCTGGTTACTTCAGTGAAGCTTTCAGCTTTTTTCCTTCATAATTTACAATACATGATTTAGGGTGGTATTGTGTTTCTACTGAAACTGTAACTTCAGCTTATAGTTATGGTAAAATGATTTTTGGTAAATGTTATACTTCTATATATTGATAGAGCAAAATAAATAATGATCTCTAAAATGCCTTTTGTTCTCTCATCACTATCAGCCTTATCAAAATAAAGCTGTAAATGGGTCAAAGCTTATTTAGCTGCTAATTAGGGAACCACTTTTCATACTTATTCCATATTTATTGAATCAAATAAAGAACCATTATGAATTATTTTATGTATGTATAAAATCTTTCACTGTCATGGTGATTACTATACACTATTCATTAGGGCTATGATGTACACTTACACTGCCGGCTAGCTTATTGCTTCAAGGAGAGCTGAAGGCAGTTTTCATGTGTTGCAGTTTGAACATATTTCTAAATCTTTAGAATTTTAGAAGTTCTAGAATTTTAGAATTCCCTTAGATAAGAAAGGCAACATGGCCGGGTGCGGTGGCTCATGCCTGTAATCTCAGCATTTTGGGAGGCCGACGCGGGTGGATCATGAGATCAAGAGATCGAGACCGTCCTGGCTAACAACGGTGAAACCCTGTCTCTACTAAAAATATAAAAAACTAGCTGGACGTGGTGGCGGGTGCCTATAGTTCCAGCTACTCAGGAGGCTGAGGCAGGAAAATGGCATGAACCGGGGAGGCGGAGCTTGCAGTGAGCCAAGATCGTGCCACTGCACTCCTGCCTGAGCGACAGAGCAAGACTCTGTTTCAAAAAAAAAAAAAAGGCAACATAATTAGATTTTCTTTTTCTTTTCAGTATACAAATTTTGTTAGGTTTTCTGTGGACAATTACAAAGAATATATTTAATACTATGTGCCTTTACAAGTAATTTAGATACTTCTATTCATAAAAACTATTCCTTAGGAAAATTACCCAAGAAAAGAGAGAGATAAGACAAATACTAAACTTTACAGTTTCTTTTTTCTTGTTGTTGTTGTTGTTGTTGGTTTTTTTTTTTTCGGAAACAGGGTCTTGCTCTGTTGCCCAGGGTAGAGTGCAGTGGTACAATCTTGGCTCACTGCAACCTCCACCTCCCAGGATCAAGCCATCCTCCTGCCCCAGCCTCCTGAGTAGCTGGGACTGCAGGTGCGCACCACCATGCCTAGTTAATTTTTTTGTATTTCTCGTAAAGATGGGATTCACCATGTCACCTAGGCTGGTCTCAAACTCCTGAGCTCAGGAGATCCATCTGCCTCGGCCTCCCACAGTGCTGGGATCACAGGCGTGAGCCACCATGCCCGGCCTCTTTACAGTTTCAAATGTGTCAGTGGGCTCTAGTGTTCTGAGCAAAGTGTCTGCCTCTTCTATAGGTGAAATTTGGGTCTTAGCTAACCTCATGTCCCCTCATTTTGGGTTCTGTTGTTTTCATTGCTGAGCAGTCAGCAGTATTTAAGTGGTGTTTTAAGTCATCCAGACGTATTTTTTTTGCTTTTGCTTAGGTCTGTTACTAATTGCTATGGAGACAAATGTAAACAGATTGTGATTATGAGCTAAACATTATAGAAGATTAGAGGATGTTTAGACTCTTAGATGGCTGAGCACAGATCACTCGTACCTTAGATAATGCAAAGAATATCTTGCTTCCTAATCACCTATTAATTTTTATTGATAGTATGATCGAAGCCTTTTCACATCCTGAGCATACCACACCTCAATCAACGCAAGTAGATACAAGTTCGGACATTTTTAGGTAAGAAGTTTTGCCTACTGTACCATTTAAAAATAGTTGTGTTTTACAAATCAGAGTGAAAATATGCCAACTGTACCATTTTTGAAACAATTGTTGCATTTTGACTAAAAACTAAGAAAATAAAAGCAACATAAAACACTGAAAGAGCAGCATAAGCATGCATATCTGACATCTTTACTGAGTTTCCACTAGCGATTGTATTTTAAAGTTATACAGGAACTATGTTAGAACAGTCTTTTCTGAAAAAAAGTAGTGATATATTATTGAAAGATGAAGTTGTTGCTCATTTTCAGCTTCTAAGTGATTTCTTACAGTGTTTGAAATGCTTTTAATTTTCTCATAGAACAGATTCATCCAGTTCTTTTGAACAGAGTGCTTAGTGTTTAGAAGTCTTGCCGAAATAGGAAGAAAATATAGCACAGCTTTACCTTAGAAAAAAATTTTCATAGTTAGAATCAATCTCCTTGAGACCTGTTGAAAGCAAAGCCCAATAAAGTTGTTTTAAAATGGGCAAATCTGTTTGTGCAAGGAGACCTTCACAAAATATTATTGTGTCTGCATGAGTGCTCACACCCATATCCGGCCCTTTCGTTGCACTCAGTTTAAAGAGCTTCTGAGCCTGGGCTGGGCTGTGCACATCCAGCTGTACCTACAGCTCAATTTATCCCTACACCTGCCCCTACTGTCCCAAGGCCTTCTTGAGTGCCAGTGACTTCTGCAAGCATGAATGCACCCACCCTGTGCCCAAGGGGACCTCTACAGCCCTAGAGCCCCTTGTGGCTTTAGTAGGAATGCCTGAAGAGGAGCCAGCCTGAAACCCATGCCCTCTTCCATTACACTTCAGGAACCCAGTCCCCACAGGGTGCCTCCTAAACCTTCTTTGTCTCCAGCTCACTCTTTAGATTCCAGATCCCTGTCACTGGGCAACTAACTCGCTCGTCACCCAGCTAAGAAAGCTGGGGACAGTGGAGGCTGGGAGCAGCTGTGAGAAACATGATTCTCAAGGAGCAACACTCAAAGCTTTCACTTTGGCAAAAAAAGAAAAGGCAGATCAATTGTAATGCCAATTTTTTTTTTTTTTTTTTTGAGATGGAGTCTCGCTCTATTGCCCAGGTTGGAGTGCCGTGGCCGGATCTCAGCTCACTGCAAGCTCCGCCTCCCGGGTTCACGCCATTCTCCTGCCTCAGCCTCCCGAGTAGCTGGGACTACAGGCGCCAGCCACCTCGCCCGGCTAGTTTTTTTTTTGTATTTTTTAGTAGAGACGGGGTTTCACCGTGTTAGCCAGGATGGTCTCGATCTCCTGACCTCGTGATCCATCCGTCTCGGCCTCCCAAAGTGCTGGGATTACAGACTTGAGCCACTGCGCCCGGCCTGTAATGCCTATTTTTTTGTGAATTTGCCAAATAAAGCTTTTTATTGGGTGTGTTAGATGCTCAGTAAAAGGCAAATATAATTGCCAGATGGGAATGAGTGTAAACCTAAATAAGTCTATATGAAATTTAATATGTTCTTTTATTTTTTGGAAATAATGATCTATTTGAATCTGATAATTGCCTGCTCTGTTGCTTAGTTTATAAAATGTAGAAAACTTTGAGTATCTGCTATGTTTGAGATAGTCATTTTGTTATGAGTCATTTGTTTGAGATAGTCAATTCCCCAACAGTCATTTTGTTAAAAAAAAAAACAAAAAAAAACAAAAAAAACAGCTAAACACCTTGCTTTGATCCTTAATTTTTGTTTGTAAATAAGCATTTTTATTAGGGTTTATAATACATTTAAACTCTGAGGTTTGCTTGGAAATGAAATGTTCACAGTACTGTTGTTTCACATTTAATGATAATAAACAGTAGTTTTCTCTACTGATCCTAGAATTAAATTTTTTAATCCTATTTTTTCCCTAGTTTTCTTAACTCTATGCTGGTTCATTAATTTTAGTCAAAAACATATTTCTAAACAAAATTACAAATTATGAAGTCTGTACAGTTAGTCAGAATGATTCCACAGGTCTCAAATTTAGATGTCCACAGGGACCAGGCAAGTAAAATACATGTCAGCTCTTGGGTTTGCAACACCCTGTGAAGGAGCTCATCACTGACTAGACAGTCCCTTAATAAAGATGAAAATTGAGCTGATGACGAATGTGTCTGGGGGCTGACGGGCACTAGAGAGAAAGGCTTTAGGGTTTAAATTTCTAGAAAACTACCAGAATAACCTTTAAATTGGAAGACAAAAGTGGGATCAGAATATTCAGATCATAGACATTCAGTTTGTTTTTTGTCAATTAATGCATGTTTTTTATTTAAATGCTTTCCACATAGTGCACAGATTTCTACATATAAAGACAAATCTTCCTCAGTTCCACCTCTGATATCATCAAATGGAGTCAGTGTTGCTTCACAACCACCTGTTCCAACACCTCAGAAGACCCAGAGAAATGAATGCAGGGCTCAGTTACCAGATTGTTCAGAGTCCGTTAGGCAGATGCTCCAAGATGAAATGTTTAAATTAGTTCAGGTAAGCACATCTCTATAGAAGTAAATCTACACATAGTGTACATGTAGGGTTTTAAAATATTAACAGATTTCCAGAAATTGACAAGTTAAAATTATATCACAAGCATTTCTCTGCTTTGGGTACTTTTCATTCAAATGTTTGTAACTGATTGGGCTCAGTGGCTCACATTTGTAATCCCAGCACTTTGGGAGGTCAAGGTAGGAGGATTGGTTGAGGCCAGGAGTTTGAAACCAGCTTGGGCAACATAGTGAGACCGCCAACTCTACTAGGAAAAAAAAAGTTCATAACTCTAGGGCCTAGAGGTCTAGGCTAAGCTACCTACTTCTCACAATGACTTCTTTTTACTGAGCTCTTTGGGATGCAGCTGCTTACAAAAGTGAGGTGGGGAGTAATCAAACCAGATCAGTGGGCTCCTACTCAGAAGTATCCAAGGCTTATTTTCCAGCTGACACTATCACATATTTCTTATCCATATTTCTTGTACTTGAGTTGAAACTGTCAGCTGCATTTCAAATTACTGTTCACTTTGACTTTCATCATACCTGGCTATCCTTTTTTTCTGTTTACCAACAATGGTTAATTATTTACCTTTTTAGAAACATTAGTTTCCCACAGAGCTAAACCTCTGCTCATTTTTCCTGCATTCACTTCCATATCCTTTTATGTGATGTAATATATACCATCATATTGATGATTATCGGCACTGAGGCAGGAGAATGGCGTGAACCCGGGAGGCGGAGCTTGCAGTGAGCTGAGATCCGGCCACGGCACTCCAACCTGGGCAACAGAGCGAGACTCC